GCACGCCGGAGAAATGGCTCGCCAGCAGCAGCAGGAACCAGGAAAAGACCCCGAAGGAGGTCAACTTTTGTCCTTGAAACGTACGACCGCACAGTACGCGCGCACGGGGTGGCTACGTCATAGGTCATCGAACCTTTTTTTCGTAATGCAGCCACGCCAGGGTATATACATACCTTTTACCGTTTGCGAACCGTTTTACGCCGCCCTGATCGAGAACGAATCTCTCGTCGTAAATACGTCCAAACCGCTGCCGCGAGAATTCCGCTGCATCTTTACGCGCGACTTCCTCCTCGCTGAGTTATCTCTCGCAGCTTTTTCAATAATTGACGACGATCTTTATAATTTCTATATATATCTCGAAACTCCCGAAGGGTTTGTTAGATCATTTGTTGGATATTCTTTTCTTCGATTCCTAGTTGCACGGCAGAACAGTAAGCCATTTCTATCTCATTGCAGAGAGCACGTAAGATAGGTGTTGTGAGATCTCGTAAATTGGTAGCACATTACGTGGGATAGTCAACGACTAAGCCAAGGCGTCCGATTTCTCCTTAATTTCTCGCATAGACAGAGAAAGGGCAACCGATCGGTGGTAAAACAACGATCATTATGGCACTGCTCCCGCATTGTTGGAGCATCGACGCGGCACTGTATCACGTAACGAGTTAACTTTTACGACGAACCACCTGCCGCCATCTTGGAATAGGTAAATAAACGCTATCTTGATCTTAATGGATCGGCAGGAGCGAGTACGAGAGCTCGGTGGAGCAAAAGGCACCACGAACGGTTCTTACTGTTATCGTGTCGAACGCGAGAAAGATGGATATCTCTGGTGAAAGATATGGGACGAAACACGATTAGCTGAAACATGTGATTTTCAAGTATCTCTCGAGGTGAGACAAGAAAGGAAACTGAAAAGCTGAAGTTCAATTTTCACCATTACCATTTATTTACATTTTCTTTTCATTCGCCAAAGTAGAATTTATTCTTAAAATTGAAATTAATCAACGAAGAACACGTTCCGAGATCCTCAGCAATGGTAATTTCTTTCTACGTTATTAGTATCAATTGGTTTAAGCCTCAATTGGTTTTGGCATTCAATTTCTTGTAAAGCATCGGACGGTTAGAAAATTATAGATCGACGCTGAACTGCAAGTATAGAAATGATGATAGCTCACGTACAGTCCGATATTTACCCCGTACTCAACGTACGCGTGTAAAAGCGGGTGCATCTAGAATGCAAGCTGCAGTTGCTTGCATTCCGTGTATAGAGCGACTTCCGGTAGGAGGGGCGGAAATTGTCATTACCTGGCGCGTGCCAGCCACGCGACCAGTCTCGTAGCCGCGTTTCCACCCAAGAAATACTCGTTACCTGTGACGATTGACGTTAACGAGACGATCAAGTCACAACACGTAATTGCACGATCAATGCCAACGCTTTTGAACGACAACGGTCGTCGCTTAACTAAGTCGATGACAAATAAAATTGCCTGCACGCCGACTAGTCACCGATAAAATTATCTTTTCCGCTTGCAGCAATCTTACGTTTGCCTTTCGTTATAACTCGAACTTTTTATAACTCGTTACAAACACCAGACGAATTAATCATTCCACGCGAGTGAGAAAATCTAAAAGTAGAACAACTCATAGACAGACTGCTCGAAAGTGATTGACGCGAATGAATTTCCGATTCTTACCGCTTATTAATCGTCGGCGAACGCTGGATCTCCGATCTCGAGTCCTACTAAAAGACGAAGTCCTGCTGCCGAGCAAGGTGTAAAATAACAAATTCTCAGTAACGCGTCGGATGGTAGATCCGAGAGAGCAGCGCGCAGCAACCCGATGATTTATAACAGTTCTGCAGCCAGTAGGACTTAAAAATAACCGAAAACTGGTGGGCGTAACCCCGTTCGTATATATATATATATATATAT